TTGAGAGGAACCACCCTGTTTGGGACTGCAACAAAGTTTCCTCTCTTTTTTTCTCATGTTTCCTTTTATTTTACGAAAATTTTACTGTTGAAATTTGATTACTCGAACTTCCCTATGATGAGTGAAACACAAAATTCCCACTGTAGACAATAAATGGGTTTGAAAAGCTTCCAATACAGGTGGTACCTCACAATTTGACCTTCCACAATTTAACCTTCTTGCAATAATTCAATGGTCAAATATGCACAGAGGTTAACTTTCAATTTGACCTGCTTTGGACACATTTTTTTGCATTTTTTTTTACTGATATTTTTGAATTCTACAGTGTCTCAAAATTTGACTGCTTTGCAATTTAATCATAGTCTGGCAATGCATTAGGGTCAAATTGCAAGGTATAACCCCTTTACCTGGAGGATCCTCAAATTATGATGTAGGCTTTTTTCTACCATTTTTCAGCACTTGTCTTTGCAAATATTTCATTAGTTTAAACATATAACTTGCTGAAAATGTTCAACTTCCATAAGAAACATCTTAAAATGTATAAAACAATTTTGTTGTGTGGAAAATGTTATTTCAAAGAATGATGTTAGGGGATTTTTATGTAAGTCTTTTTAAATGGAAAGACTGCAATACACTTCTCAGAGCTTTCTATGTGAGTTCTTGGTCAACTGAAAAATCTCTTCCATTTCTTTTCAATATTTTTGAAATTGACTATGACCTTATTTACAATTTTGTTGACCTTATCAACACTGACATGCATTTTAAATTTATATTTTATAATGCTGAAAAATCTGTCCTGTTCCTTATATTTTTGAAATGAACTCTGACATTATTATGGAATAGTTATGTTAGCCTCATCACTGTACATATACAGTACAGTGGACACCCGCCTAACAGACCTCCTGCATAAGGGATTTTTGCCCAACAGACCAGCTCTGTAGGCAGTTTTTCCTCCTTTCCAACAGACAAAATCTGCCAAGCAGACTTCTGTTGGTTTAAAATTAGTGTTGACAATTAAAAATTTCACTTTTTTATATAATTGAATTCATTTAAAGGGATTTTTGTCTAACAGACTTGTCCATTGCACAAATCAAGTCCATTAGATGGGGGTTGACTGTAAAAAATAAATAAATGTATATATATATGAAATTTAAATTTACAAAACTGTATACAGAGTTAAATTTATGATTTTAATGTGAAAAACTCTCTTGCCTTCCACTTTCCAGAGAGCAGAAGAAGTGAGAAGCGGAAGAAAATCTTTTGGGATGGCGAGAAGCGGATTGGATTGACGCGCGCCCGCTTTCTAGGCGGGGCTCCATCTCCCAAGGGAGTCCCTATCTCCACTTTCCAGCTGCAAAGTCCAGAGGAGGGGCTTTTTCCTTGGGGCTTTTCTTCTTTCAGTCCTGGGAAAAAGCCCTTGACGCCTATGCCTGCACAGTATAGTCATCAAAACATTGAATGCTCCTCCCTGAGCCAAAGGCATTTTCCTTGAGACCCCCAGGGAGTGGGAGGAGATTCCTACACTGATTTTGTTATTTTTGTGTGTGTGTAACTGTAATACGGTCAGCATTTTGTTTGAAAAATGATTGTGACGCATCTGAATAAGAGAAATTCTTCTATATGTGTTTTAAAAATAATCTATAATACAGAAAATTAGAATTAGCAAGAATTGTTCTGGTTTCACTAAATTATTTCTTGAGGTTCTATAGCAGGATAAATACCGCGCCATTTGAGTTTCAGTGTGATTTAATGTCTTATTTAATGGATTGTCTCAAAATAATGGACTCAGACAACCCGGTTTATTCTTGTTTCGGATAGTGGACCCTGGTTTGATGGTAGACAGCTTCTCCGAAAATTCCTCATTTTTATATGGGGATGCCAACAGAATAATGTTGTATGTGATGGGTTTTCCTCATTTTCAAGTGATTTTCCTTGTTATTCATTACATTTTTCATTGATTCATAGTACAGTATACAGTATCGTGAATTGATCCTTTTAACATACCTGTAGTCTTTTAAATATACACCGAATTTGAAAGTACAAAAACAATAATTATTGGACTCAGGTATTTTCATTGAATCTATTTACAATCCTGAAATTTCTGGAGAATCGCATAAATATTTTAAATCAAAACTAATAAATATACTGTACTGTCGTAGAATTCCAGGAAAATTGTGAAAATCCCCTAAGTATATATATTTCTCACTCTGATGTCTTCCTTGCTATTATTCACCAGTACCACCCTGAATCCACAAAATGTTAAAACTGAAATATATTTTCTGCCCATACAAGTTCCACAACAGACGTTTATTGTGGGATAATTTTACTGTATAAATGACACATACAGTATTTCAAACTCCTGCAGAGCCATAAAAAGATTTATTTTCTCTGGTAAACCCTGAATGTGAAACTCATAGCCTACAGTAAGGAGTGTGGTTTAGGATAAATTACTGGCAATTTTTTTTCACTCACTTTCACAGCTGAGTTTTATTGTGGAAGTTCCTTGCGGGAAGTTTCACGCTTCCACTGCAATATTCTATTAAAGAGGAAGAAATAAAAGTGCACACAAGGCTGGTTTCTGATGCTCATACAGTATCTACTGAACATTCAGTTTGGGTAGGTGGTGATACAGGATATCATGGATGAGTTGCAGCAAACAAAAAAAGATGGGGAGTGAGATCAATCCTGGAGGATAACAATAATGCTTTGCATGCTGGGTTTGATAAGATTATCCCCAGGGGCATAACCATGTGTGATTTTATCGGGTGGAGTCAGTCCCCCCCCCCCCCCCCATTCGTTTATTCTTGCATGAAAATTAGTACCCGGACATGCCTACCCCTCCGATGGATGGAAAGGTGTGGGGTAAATATGAAGAGCTCTGTGAGGCAGTGGGAGCACACAGATTCGGAATCACAAATGGCGTCGGACATGTTGAACAAAGCACGTGTTCATGGAAGAGCGGTCGGGCGTTCAGGTAAAGTTGGGAGTGATCAGGGTTGTTGTGCTGTTAGGCATTAATATCGTGAATGTCCCGATGCTTTTTCAAAGTCAATGATTCCAGATACATCGCGTTGGTGTAAAAAAGACCCTCATGGTCCCAGTGAGTTACGAAATGTGATCAGGGTTGTTGTGCTGTTAGGCATTAATATCGTGAATGTCCCGATGCTTTTTCAAAGTCAATGATTCCAGATACATCGCGTTGGTGTAAAAAAGACCCTCATGGTCCCAGTGAGTTACGAAATAGATCTTCAGCGATGCTGGTTAGTGCAAGAAGCACCTGTTTGTAAGCACCGGCGAAGCAATTTGAGCAGTTTTTAGACATTCTTATTTCTAAGATGTCGAATATTCGTATAGTAACTCGGTGACCTGGCATTGATTTATGGTTAGGTGCGAATAAATCGAGGCAATTCGTGACCGGTAACCTTTGAAGACGGTGTTTTATTTTCGGCGGAAGTGTATTTCATGCGGAAAAAATCAGTTCCTCGGGTTATTTCGGCGATACGTTGCATTTTGCAGCATTGGTGAATCAATTTTTCGGTTTCGTTTAAATTTACGCGTCATGAAAACGATTAGCTCAATATTTAGTGCAGTAAGAACCGATCGGTCATCAGACAAACCTCCGATTTTTGTGCGTCATAATTAAGCAATATAGCTTGTGAATCCATCATATTCAATTTCTCAAGGATTGAAGGAGCCTTTAGATCTAGATACTGTACTTGTACATCGGTTACAAGCTTGAACTCATTGAAAACTCCCCACGGAAATGAGGACTGTGATATTGAGTTACCCTGGCTCTGAAGATTTATTGAGTTGAATTTTACCTGTCTTTTACTTGGATCGATAATTTTTATCGAGTGATACCCTGCAATTCACGTGCGAATCCATGACTCGCCCGAATTTCGTGTACGCGGAAGAAGTGCATCTCATGTTTTAGTAACTATACAGATTTAAGGTGAAGTGATCTGCCATTTTATTTTACTAAGGTGAAGAAATTTCGACCAAAGCTTGATCTTGACTTCAATTGGTGTGCTGTGATGGCGTTGATGAGTTCCACGTTTGCCGGTTACCATGCAAACATGGAACGGAAACAGTACATCTCAACGTTGGAAAACGCTTACCGACGTGAACAAGGGAGATCTATCAGTCTATTAGTATCGCTATCCGATTCTCACGCGAATGTTGCTAGTCTCTTGGCGCCTGATGATGAAAAATATCCTCTAAATTCAAACGCGATTCCTCAAGATTTGGTTGATCTTGCTGTCGCCCACCTCAGGTAAGCTGCTCGTTAACATTCACTCAAGCTTTTTGTGACTTGAATGATGAAATTGCCCCCAGGGTTTTGCATCACTTTCGTCAACCCGGAGTAGAACACGCGGAACAGGCTGTGAATTGGCAAGTTGCTGCTTTGAAAGCAGCTGCCAGTTTCGTGCAGAACGTGAAAGGTAAAAACTGGCCTGTTCCGGTTTTGATAACTCTTGCCAAAGATTTGCGACGCTTGACATTCATGTATGTAAAATTTACCGAATCTTCGGGAGTGAATATTTAATTGATCGTGGTTTGTTGATTAGGTTGATGAAATTGACCGACAGTCGCGGAAGTGCAGTTAGAGACGAAGAAGAAACAAGCAAACATAATCCGTACAGCAAAGCGTCGGATACCATTATGGTTGCTTTTCGGATATGTGCTGCTGATGGGTGAGGATTTCTGCTCCTTTTTGTGAAAGCATTTGCTTTTACTGTATTTTCATATTTAAACACAACCTTCCGAGTTAATAAGGTTTATATTGAAGTTTCGTTTAATGGAGGTCAGTTCAGCTATTGTATTCCATGAGATTAATCTATTTCAGGTTTTTTTAGGTCAGGAAAGGTTTGATAAAGCTAATTTTGACGTAAAGGAACATTGATGGGTGGTGTTGCGACGGTTTTGGCGATTTGGAGTCGGTTTTGATGGATTAGTTGCGACATTTATTATGTTAGTTCAGTGATTTTCGTGTAAACTTATCTGGGGTTAAGTAAGGTTGGATTTTCAGGCAAGTTCAGAGTGGACTTGGTAGTTTAACTCACGACTCAATCAGAAAGGTTTAGGAAAGTTTTGATGAAGTTGATTTAAACATCTTCGATTTTGCAGATTTAATTTTGATCTGTCTGGCTGTGAATGGTTGGCAAATATTGAAAATCATCATTCCTATCTCCGAAACTGATCGTGTATTTGTGTATGAGTCGAGTGTTCTGGTCAGGTTTTCTTGATCCAGCGTACTTCAAATTATTCAACAGTTGAAGTTCGCAGCTTTAGTTAGTTAGAGACGAAGAAGAAACAAGCAAACATAATCCGTACAGCAAAGCGTCGGATACCATTATGGTTGCTTTTCGGATATGTGCTGCTGATGGGTGAGGATTTCTGCTCCTTTTTGTGAAAGCATTTACTTTTACTGTATTTTCATATTTAAACATAACCTTCCGAGTTAATAAGGTTTATATTGAAGTCTCGTTTAACAGAGGTCAGTTCAGCTATTTGATAAAGCTAATTTTGACGTAAAGGAACATTGATGGCTGGTGTTGCGACGGTTTTGGCGATTTGGAGTCGGTTTTGATGGATTAGTTGCGACATTTATTATGTTAGTTCAGTGATTTTCGTTTAAACTTATTTGGGGTTAAGTAAGGTTGGATTTTCAGGCAAGTTCAGAGTGGATTTGGTAGTTTAACTCACGACTCACTCAGAAAGGTTTAGGAAAGTTTTGATGAAGTTGATTTAAACATCTTCGATGTTGCAGATTTAATTTTGATCTGTCTGGCTGTGAATGGTTGGCAACTATTGAAAATCATCATTCCTATCTCCGAAACTGATCGTGTATTTGTGTATGAGTCGAGTGTTCTGGTCAGGTTTTCTTGATCCAGCGTACTTCAAATTATTCAACAGTTGAAGTTCGCAGCTTTAGTGCGTTATGCTTTTTTACTATTGTAACGCCCCACATGATTTTTGTTCTCGTCAATTTATTATACAGGAGAACCGCTGATAATGAAAGCAAGCGAGTTGGAATGATGGGTCTAGTGAATCAAATGATCAGAATATACTCGAAAGGCGAACTCTGGGAAATGTACCGACCTTTGATACGTGCCTTGGATCCCTTTTCAACAAAAATGACTTTTCCCGTTGGCCAGATGGTGACTTATCGGTACTTCGTTGGACAAAAGCTAGTATTTGATGGGGATTTCCGAAAAGGTGAGAAAGATTTGCTTTTTCCAATTTTTGCTGAAAATTTGTATGCTCATTACTACAACGTTTTTCAGCTGCCGAGTATCTGACATATGCGTTCGAGCGTTGCTTGAAGACCAGTGTAGCGAATAAGCGAAAAATCCTCATGTATCTTCTTCCTGCAAAAATGATCCTAGTAAGTGTGAATAACCAGGTTGTTTTTTAGTCGTTTCTGAAATTCCCCTTTTTATTTTTTAGGGACAAATGCCAAAATTATTTATCCTGAAAAAGTACAATCTGGAACAGTTCGAAGAAGTAGTTTTGGCTGTGAAACAAGGAAACGTGCGCCGACTGAAAGAAGCCCTGGAAACACATCAAGACTTCTTTGTGGAAAACGGAATTTACCTAATTTTGGATAAACTATCTACTCTGACGTTTAGGAATTTATTTAAGAAAATTTCTATGATGTTTGGAACGCATCAAATCGACATCGGTTTATACGTTCGCGCGTTGAGGTATTTAGGCATGCATGACATGGAAGATGCCGAAGCCCAGTGTATGATAGCCAATTTGATCGACGAAGGCCGAATCAAAGGTTATTTATCTTTGGTTCATAACAAGCTGGTTGTTAGCAAGACGAATCCATTTCCCATGAAAATTGGCTGATTTGTTACGGGATATATTTTTTAAAATTATACTGTTTTTTTGAGGACCAGAATTGTTTTTCTGAAACCCGTCGAGGTGACCTGTATCTTGGATTTCGAGCAAAAGCCGGTGTCTTTCACGCACTTCGAGAATTAATGCAATACTTCCTCTTGTTGTTGAACTACTGATTCTCGAGAATCAAGAGAAAAGTTTTTCATTGTTCAGATAATCTTGAAAAGTGCCGGAGAACTACTGAAAATTCTGCGAGGTGGCCTAAAAGAAGTTACTGTGCGAAAAAATACAACTTCGCGATGAATTAAACACACTTTACAATTGAAGCTCTGAAAGAAAAAACACAGCTATTCCGTTTCTTGTATTTTAATGATGAATGTATCTTGTGTTATTATTACTGTGTATAGTCCTTACTCATTGGTTAGTTTAATTACCATATGCGGTATTTTAACAAAAATTTCCAGCCGTTTCAACATGAATTACTCAGCCTTGGGGTTTATGATTAGTTCTATGCTGATGATGCGTGAATTTGGAATATTTGTTGAGTGATTTTTAATAGTTAGAAGTGTGTGAAAAAGGACTTGCTAGAATGTTTTATAGAATGCACCTATAATAATGAGGGTTATTTATTTTCCTGCTTCAAGAAATGTTGTCGATCCATCTCGATTTATTATTTTTAGTCTCACTTCTGAGTGCTTTACAACCAAGATAAGAAAGATAATTCTCTCAAGTTATGGTAATTTTTTGGGACACCCTATCCTTGAGCTCGAAGTTGAGATGCAGGTGAACTTTTGGCGAATGCGAAGAATCTTTTGACAGTGTCTATGTATTTAAAATAATCTGTGTTTTGCTCTTTTTCTTTAAGAAACCGTGTTTGGATCGGAAAATGGATTCTACTGTGAAAGGAACGGGTCCGTTTGGTTTACCTGGTCCACCGAAGCGTTCGGAACGTCGAATCAAAGGTTATTTATCTTTGGTTCATAACAAGCTGGTTGTTAGCAAGACGAATCCATTTCCCATGAAAATTGGCTGATTTGTTACGGGATATATTTTTTAAAATTATACTGTTTTTTTGAGGATCCAGAATTGTTTTTCTGAAACCCGTCGAAGTGACCTGTATCTTGGATTTCGAGCAAAAGCCGGTGTCTTTCACGCACTTCGAGAATTAATGCAATACTTCCTCTTGTTGTTGAACTGCTGATTCTCGAGAATCAAGAGAAAAGTTTTTCATTGTTCAGATAATCTTGAAAAGTGCCGGAGAACTAATGAAAATTCTGCGAGGTGGCCTAAAAGAAGTTACTGTGCGAAAAAATACAACTTCGCGATGAATTAAACAAACTTTACAATTGAAGTTCTGAAAGAAAAAACACAGCTATTCCGTTTCTTGTATTTTAATGATGAATGTATCTTGTGTTATTATTACTGTGTATAGTCCTTACTCATTGGTTAGTTTAATTACCATATGCGGTATTTTAACAAAAATTTCCAGCCGTTTCAACATGAATTACTCAGCCTTGGGGTTTATGATTAGTTCTATGCTGATGATGCGTGAATTTAGAATATTTGTTGAGTGATTTTTAATAGTTAGAAGTGTGTGAAAAAGGAATTGCTAGAATGTTTTATAGGATACACCTATAATAATGAGGGTTATTTATTTTCCTGCTTCAAGAAGTGTTGTCAATCCATCTCGATTTATTATTTTTAGTCTCACTTCTGAGTGCTTTACAACCAAGATTGGAAAGATAATTTTCCCAAGTTATGGTAATTTTTTGGGACACCCTATCCTTGAGCTCGAAGTTGAGATGCAGGTGAACTTTTGGCGAATGCGAAGAATCTTTTGACAGTGTCCTACATAAATTTTATTAGACACAAAACGAGAAAAAGAAATTCTTTGGCACAAACCTAGCCTTTTACCTAAGATGACACTTTCCTTGCCCAGGCAAACCAAATGGACCAGGTGGCTTCGCAAGCCTTGCGGCCCAAGTCGGGGAGGAAATTCTTAGGTACACGATGGATTGGAAAAATCATTATCGCGAAAATATCATTATACCGAAGCTCATGGGCCCAGTGATGATCAAGAGTAAAGAAGAGAAAATGATCGAGGCCGCGTTCGAAAGCTGTGCTTTCAAGTCCATCACAGCGTGTGTCGTTGGTAATTTTATTGCAAAAATGATTTTTTGCCGGGTGTTTATGATGTTTAGTATATTTTTAATCCAAGTTTTGAAATAATTTTAGGCTACGGATTGGGAGCTGGCCTGGGTCTTTTCAGTGCCAGTCTGAACCCTACTATAACTCCAGATTTTGGGCATCAGTCAGCTCGTCAGGTTCTTCAAGACATGAAAGTTACAACTTTGAGTTATGCCAAGAATTTCGCCATGATTGGTATGGTTTTTTCCGCTGTGGAATGCACAATTGAAAGCGTAAGTTTTTTTATATTTTTAAATAGCGTATTTGAAAGTTTTGGTTGATCCAGTGAAAAAGCTCAATAGAATTTATTCTCTCTCAATTTATAAAACGTGAGGAAAATTCCGCTGTTGATTACCGAATGCGTGAATTTTTTGCCGGAATGCTTTCACTTCGAATTTTTTCTTTAAATGTTGGAAGTGATTCATAAACAAATAAACGTGCTTTCTTATAATGGAATCGAAGTTTCAGTCCCTAAGTCATGAGGCTTGTGACAGATGCATCTGTTTTTTGGATAACTGAATCCCTATTTACTGGCCAAAAATGTTCAACCAATATTCGTTGTATTTTTATTCTGTCTTTATGGTTTAGTATTTGGCCTTTTTATTCGTCTAAGTCAAGTCTTCATGAATTCTCCTTGAACATTAAAAAGAAGTAGAAAGTCATGGCGCCTTTTTCGCTATAAGAGTTGCCATGAATGCGACCTCCACAGTGACCTCCTGACTAGCCTAACTCTCCATGAAATAGTAATCGATTAATTTTATTCACGTATATTCATTAGTTATAAGTGACATGATTCTTTCGTAGCTGGGATCAAAGCAGGAGCAATAGGAGCAGCTGGCTTCGCCTTGTTCTCAACTGCGATCGACTACTGGATGCGTCATTGACTTTTATTTGCTGTGATCGTGTTTTTTTTTAGGACGCAATGTTGTGTGTTCTTTGTAGTACCCTGTTTTTTCTTGTGGATGAGCAAGGAACCATGCCGCGTTTTGACTTGATAATCTGACGAAAATTGCGATGGTTTCCCGAAAGTCTCGCGAATCACTCAGAAATCGTCATCGTCCGGTGAAATCAGGATATCGTTGATTCATTTAAAAGGAATAGTCTCATTCTGTTGAAATGATCGTGATAAACACTTCAGTCGAACGTAACTAATTATGAATTCTAGAGAAAAATAGGATTTCTTTTTTATTTCTGCTTAATTTCCTGAAAGACGATAATGAATCTGGAAAAAAAATAAGAACACCCAAAAAATTAGTTGTACTGTACAAGATAGGTAAAAAAACCAAAAAAAAACCATTTTCGCTTATTTTCTGCCATAAATTGGGTAAAAATTGAACTCGGAATACGAATGTGATGTACAGTATATTGAATGAGGCAGTCGAACACCCATGAGGAAATTTTCGGAAGATTCTTTTTTTTTTTTCGAAGAAAAAAAAGCGAAGCCAAAATGGGAAATTTTCTATTTTTCTACGAAAAGCTGAAGCATGCTGAAAAACTATTTCAAGTTCTCTCCGATGCTCTTCGTTGGTTCCCAAAAATAATTTAATCGTATGCCTGTGACTCGTAGCTAATCAATCAGTAAGTTCACGTAGCTTCAAATTTGTCAGAAAAATAATTTTATACTTCTTCCTGGAAGGGATCATGTCAATTTGTAAGCTTGTCACCCTATTGGTTCAGAAATTCTCCATTTTCCAAATTCGGGGAATATGAACACATTAGATCCCGGCTTCAAGGATCACTGCTGGGAACATGCACAAATAAATTAAAATTCAATTCACAGCCTGTGCTGCACATTGGTGACGATGAATCACAGGCTTCTCGTGATGAAAAAGGACGTGGCAGCAAAACAATTGTTGATTCATTTCCCACAGCGGCAAGTCGTTCAAAAAAAAATTACCGGCCAACAAAAACACAATGGAAACAAAAAAACAAAATTCAAATGTTCACATCAATGTTTCTGCTGAGCTGCGGAACGGGGATCACGTTGTGGCCAGGCCCGGGTTCTTGGGTCCGCCGGGGCTGCAGGCCACTGAGGAGGAACCCCTTCCGCCTTCCCGTTGGAGAAGGGCTGCTTCGGAGCCCGTTTATTCACAGCCGGAAGTTCTTCTTTTCCCTTCTGCCCCGCTTCCTGTTTCCGCTGCCGCACGTCTTCCTTTTCCTTGTTCGGAGGTCCCATCTGGAAGTCCTTGTACTCAGGCTTCGGAGCGCTGAAGTCTGGGGTCTCGAGAAATACCATACAAAAGCTGCGAAAATTAAAGAAAAACAGCAATGTACAAAATCTAGGCATGAATTTCATAACGTCTCATCAACATGTGGAAAGGAAGAACGGGATTGGAGTAAAAATCCCTATTAGGCCTTTCCTGCTTCGTCTCTATGAAAAAGGTCTCAACGTGGGTATACTGATGATAGCGATGAACACAAAAGAAATGCCACAGAAACGCACCGCAATAAAAAAATAAAAAACCCTCACATAATCCACTCGGGATTTCACACATGCTTTACGAATAAGATGTCCAAAAAGCAAATCATCGGACGTATGTACAGCAAAAATTGGCTGTTGATCGACCAAAAATAATAAAAGGAACCTTGGAAAACGCAGAAAAATATTTTAAAAAGTGGCCAGAAGTGCGTGGGTCGTAACAAATCTCAGTCCCCATGATGCCTTTTTCTACATCGACAATTTCGTCATCGCGGGCAGATGTCACTCGCAGTTGAAATAGTCTTAGTTTACTCGATTTAGTTCGAAATCTGCGCAAATTTTAGCAACAACCGCACAAAATCCAGGTGAAATTATTCCACTGCTTTTCCGGGATGTGAAAACACATACAAACAAAACAAGCAGTAAAAATAAGCTTTTCATCAATAATTCAAAGTAAAATCAACGTTCATAATGCCTGTAATGCTACAAGGAAGTCTTGCTTTCCGGTTCGCCAAAAATTCGGAAGTATAATACAGTACAGTACTGTACAATATATCGGCATACATCTTAAAAACAATAGATGAACACTAAATGCCAACTTTTACACAATGAGGTCAGCCAAAATTTGATTTCAACAATAAAGGAATTGCAATTAATACTAGCTCGAAGTACAGTACAGTAATTTTGGAAGTTTGAAGCGGAGTACAGTAATTTTGAAAATTATAAGAGCCAATGAACACTTTCCATATGCTTGTTTGAGAATTCAACTTCAACTTTTGGCGCCAAGAGGATACAAAAGCAAGAAAAAATGTTTTTAAGAAGACTTAAGGAACCTTTACATCGACAATTTTAACCATCAGATTGAATTCGAGTTTGAAAATTTCGCATTTTTCGAAAGGAATTATCGGTCGCAGAAGAACGCCAGCAAAATACTGTACGGGAATGCAATACTCGATGGCGTGCGAATATTCCAGTTGAAAATTGCTTTGGAAAATTCAACATATTTTATAGGTATTCGGGAAATTAAACAAGAATTCGTCAATAATCCCAACGAGAAAATTCAGAAGGTTTTTCAGTGGCGTTCAGATCACTTCGTGCAGTAAAAAAAAAAAGCAATGGTCCACATGCGCGTGAATCACTCCAAATAATCAACGATTAATTCCATAATCAACTCACTCTCCGAGCTTCTGGATTTCCCCAAACTTGCCGACATAGACAGTCATACACGACTTCCACACGGACACGTAAACTTTCTGAAGGGATAAAATGTCACCGGGGCAAATGAGGCGCCCGTATTCGTCCCAAACGGAGACATTGGCACTGCCTGTTCGATCAGCCACGCGGACTGTCCGCACTTCCCGACCTTCTTTTGTCACAGTTGGAGCTCCTGACACAAACAACAACAACAAGGAATCAAATCCGCCGTCTTGGAACAAATCTTCGCCTTTTTCAACACCGACAACTTAAAAAAGGCTAGCGCGTCTTTTCGAAGTTGGGGAAGACTCACCGACGTCAAGCACTATCACGACGAGATTAACATGTTTCATGCCCGGATTCAGATCCCGTAACAGAGAAAAATTATGCCCGGACATTTCCGAAATTCAAAGGCGAAAACCTGTCGTAGAGAGAGAAAAAATTCAAAGTCAGACGGAAATTTCAAGTTTCGTGGGATTTCTCAAAAAAGTGTCGCGAGTCACCCAAAGATCTTCGTCGTTGTCAGGTTCACATTTTCCCTCTCCGTATGCTAATTTAATAAAAACCCTTGGTTGCTTCTCGTAGCCTCTCTTGAACTTTATCAAAAAGTCGTACGAAGTCGAAAAGCATCTTTTTATCTTTTAAAGGGTAAAACCGAAGCGAAAAAAAATCTTCGAAAAAAAAAAAAAGAATCTTCCGAAAATTTCCTTATGGGTGTTCGACTGCCTCATTCAATATACTGTATATCACATTCGTATTCCGAGTTCAATTTTTACCCAATTGATGGCAGAAAATAAGCGAAAATGGTTTTTTCGCTTTTTTTTTACCTAACATATACTGTACAACTAATTTTTTGGGTGTTCTTATTCTTTTTCCAGATTTATTATCGTCTTTCAGGAAATTAAGCAGAAATAAAAAAAGAAATCCTATTTTTCTCTAGAATTCATAATTAGTTACGTTCGACTGAAGTGTTTATCACGATCATTTCAACAGAATGAGACGATTCCTTTTAAATGAATCAACGATTTCCTGATTTCACCGGACGATGACGATTTCTGGGTGATTCGCGAGACTTTCGGGAAACCTTCGCAATTTTCGTCAGAAAATTATCAAGTCAAAACGCGGCATGGTTCCTTGCTCATCCACAAGAAAAAACAGGGTACTACAGTACAAAGAACACACAACATTGCGTCCTAAAAAAACACGATCACAGCGAATAAAAGTCAATGACGCATCCAGTAGTCGATCGCAGTTGAGAACAAGGCGAAGCCAGCTGCTCCTATTGCTCCTGCTTTTATCCCAGCTACAAAAGAATCATGTCACTTATAAGTTATACCTAATGAATATACGTGAATAAAATTAATCGATTACTGAAAGTACCTCTCAATCCGATCAGTCCTCCAGTGACACCTCCAGCGTAAGTACCGTTGAGAATATCGCTTTTTCCGCGGTACTGAAAGATGAAGAAAAATTACAAGTTCCTCTTAAGTACTTCTGAACTGTCTTCCTTTTCCTTGTTCGGAGGTCCCATCTGGAAGTCCTTGTACTCAGGCTTCGGAGCGCTGAAGTCTGGGGTCTCGAGAAATACCATACAAAAGCTGCGAAAATTAAAGAAAAACAGCAATGTAAAAAATCTAGACATGAATTTCATAACGTCTCATTAACATGTGGAAAGTAAGAACGAGATTGGAGTAGAATTCCCTATTAAGCCTTTCCTGATTCGTCTCTAACTATGAAAAAATGTCTCAACGTGGGAATACTGATGATAGCGATGAACACAAAAAAATGCCACAGAAACGCACCGCAATAAAAAAAACTCTCACATAATCCACTCGGGATTTCACACATGCTTTACGAATAAGATGTACAAAAAGCAAATCATCGGACGCATGTACAGCAAAAATTGGCTGTTGATCGACCAAGAATAATAAAAAGAACCTTGGAAAACGCAGAAAAATATTAAATGAAGTGGCAAAAAGTGCGTGGGTCGTAACAAATCCAAGTCCACATGATGCCTTTTTCTGCATCGACAATTTAGTCACCGCGGGCAGATGTCACTCGCAGTTGAAATAGTCTTAGTTCACTCGATTTAGTTCGAAATCAGCGCAAATTTTAGAAACAAACGCACAAAATCCAGGTGAAATTATTCCACTGCTTTTCCGAGATGTGAAAAAACATACGATCAAAACCCGCAGTAAAATTAAGCTTTTGAACAATAATTCAAAGTAAAATCAACGCTCATAATGCCTGTTTTGCTAAAAGGAAGTCTTGCTTTCCGGTTCGCCAATAATTCGGAAGTATAATACAGTACTGTACATCGGCATAAATCTTAAAAACCATAGATAGCACAAAAATTCCGACTTTTACAACAATGAGGTCAACCAAGATTTGATTTCAACGATAAAGGAATTGAAATTAATACCAGCTCAAAGTACAGTACGGTAAATTTGGAAGTTTGAAGCAGAGTACACAAATTTTGAAAATTTCAAGTGTCAACGAACACTTTCCATATGCTTGTTTGAGAATTCAACTTCAACTTTTGGCGGCAAGCGGATATAAAAGCAAGAAAAAATGTTTGTAAGGGGGGGAAGACTTGAAGAAATACTACACATCTACTGTACATTGAAAATTTTTATAATCGGATGGAATTCGAGTTCGAAAAGTTCGTATTTGTCAAAAGGAATCATCGCAGAAGAACGCCAGCGCAATTCGGAAAATTTAACATACTGTACTATATTAGGGAAATTAAATAAGAATTCGTCCATTATTCAAACGAGAAAATCCAGAAAGTTTTTCAGTGGCGCTCAGATCACTTCGTGCGGTCAAAAAAAAAAAGTTAAAGCAATGGTCCACTGCCACGCGAATCACTCCAAATAATCAACGATTAATTGCATAATCAACTCACTCTCCGAGCTTCTGGATTTCCCCAAACTTGCCGACATAGACAGTCATACACGACTTCCACACGGACACGTAAACTTTCTGAAGGGATAAAATGTCACCGGGGCAAATGAGGCG